GCAGGCCATCATGTACAAAAATATGGTTTCATAATGTGTCAAACGGGCCAACAGGATAGTCATTTCTTTCTAATGCCTCCAGAAAAACAAATGGGGGTTGAGAGTTGGCTTGCATCAGAATAAAAAGTAAAGAGCCTTACACATTTTGGAGTTTTACATGTTTTGGATTTTTACAATTTTCTGTTTCTGACTTTATTTGAGAAATATTGGAGAGGGGGAACAGTCAGTCCTACACTGCACACATAGAAACTGCCAAAGTTAATAAACATATTTTTCAAGTTTTGTAGCACCGCCAATATGTGGAAAAGCACGTTGACGCAGCCTGAGGGAGAGTGGGGCAAAGGAATTGAGTCCATGCATTATTTCATAATCATTTATATGTCTGGTGAAAGAAGAGGCATTGTTGATCTCCAGCCTGGAAAATACCAGGTCAGGGAGATAGTGTCACTCTAATTTCTGCACTAGCAGTTCTCTTGTCAGAAAATGTTTGCTCAAGGATGCTGTGATGGGTGTTTAAAAATGACCACAGAACAATGAGGCTGATTTGAAGAACGGAAACTTAAACTATCTATTATCATTGGATGACTGTCCTGTTTGGATCATAGAAAAGACGGGAAAAGAGAGAAAGCAAGGCAGAGAATTACAGAGATAAGCTTTCCTATTCTTAATGTACTAATGGTAGTCTGACTCACACAAAATGTTAAGCTGTAATATGCTAACAGGCAAACCCAGTTACTGAAAAATATGTACTTCTTAGTTATGATGCAGCCATCTTTGCACTGTACAGGTAGTCCTCGACTTATGACAGGAATTGGGACTGGAATTTCCATTGCTAAGCAATGTGGTCGTAAAGCGCAACCACGTCACTTAGCAAAAGCAATCCCTGCAATCCTGGTTGCTGTTGTTAACTGAATCCCATGGCCGTTAGGCAAGGCAACTTGTAGGTCAAGGACTATCTGTAGTCTGGTTAACATAAAGACAGATTTCTTTGCAAAACAGCAGTTCATTAAGGAACTCTCATTCCTGTGGCTTGAACAGGAAGTTTTTGTAATGCCCTATAAAATGTTAGTCAGATTTATTAGTGTCACATGTAATAACTGAATTACAGATAGTCCTTACTTAACAATCATTCATTTAGTGACTGTTTGAAGTTATGAGGGCACTAAAAAAAAGGTATTTATGACTGGTCCTCGCACTTACAACCATTGCAGTACCCCCACAGTCAGCTTGGCAATCAGCTCACACTTACAATGGTTGCAGTGTCCTGGGAGTCACGTGATCGCCATTTGTAACCTTCCCAGCAGGCTTCCAGCAAGCAAAATCAATGGGGAAAATGTGTGATTCATTTAACAGCCATGTGATGACTTAATGACCATGGTGATTTGCCTAATAACTGCCACAAAAAATGTCATAAAATTGAGTGCAGTCATGTGATGACTTGCTTAATGACTGCCCCACTTAATGACAAATTTTCCAGTCCCGATTGTGGTCGTTAAGCGAGGACTACCTGTATGACTTTTGGTGAATGGCCACTGTTGATAAGGAAATTATCACTGTCTATACTTTCTGTGGAGTTACCAGATCTTGGCTGCAAAAATCTGGATGACCACCAGTTGGACAAAAGTGAAGTCTTTCTATGTCTTTGCTGCCACCTAGAAGTTATTTGGAGTTCTGCAGCTCAGATCTGTTACTATTTAATTTCCTTTTATCTGTTTTGCAGTTCTACCTCCTTTCACCCACTCACCCATCAGAATGACTCTGATAAATGTAGTTTGTAACTCATGAACATTTCTTTCATAATAGATCTATTAATCCTTGATTGTGTTGCTACAATGCTTACCTTGAACTGATCCATTTTCCGAGTTCACCCAATACCCTGAACCACAAACTCACAAAACAGGCTGCATCGACCCGAGAGGCTTTAGTCTGCACCGGAATCAAGACAAGGAAAACTAAGCCAGGTTAAAAGTAACCAAGCTTACTTTGTTGTACAAATGCAATCACCAGGGGCTTCACCTAATTAAGGTGCCTTAAAACTCTTTCTTGCAACCAAGTTCTATGGCTGTTGCCCTTCTAGAAATGATTTGGAGACAAATTCCTCTGGCACTTTTGTAAAAAAAAGACCAGCATATCACAGGCAGAAAAAAAAGGTGCGTGCTCCCATACAAAATAGATGGCGAGGGATGCAAGAGACTCTGTCATTGTGCTTCTGAATGCAGTGAACGTCCTTCTGGAATCCTAGGAAAAGCCTTGCATCAAGATGTGCTTTACATGGGGAAAGGATGAAAGGACCTTCGTTATCCTGAAGCCCTTTTGGAACTGATTAGCATCTTCTTTGAAGGGAGGGCAGAAGAGGCGTCTCCTTTGTTCCATTGATCAGTGTGCTTGTTTCCTGGCAAATGACCTGATTAGTTTTCTGTTCCATTCCAGAACTGACACTAGACTGTTGAAGGATCCCTCCAAGGCAATCTCACTGTGAGCAACCTGAATGTCTCCGTGGCCGCAGTAAGCAAGAGCAGCTGCTGCTCGTTCAGCAAGATGGCCTAGCTAGGTAGTGGCATGTAGCCAATTTTAACTGATTTCAGAAAGCTAGCAGGGTTAGACCTGCTAGTTCTACTTGGATGGGAGGTCTTCTGGAAATTAGAATGCTGCAGGGCAGACTGGGAAGTTGGGGGGGGGGGAAAAAAACTTCCTGAAAGACAGCTTCTGTGAAGGAGGTCCTAAGTTCAGTCTTCAGCATCTCCAGGAGGGGCAGAACATTTTCCTGCCTAAAGATCTGGAGAAATACTACTAGTCAATGTGGGCTAGAGCTACCAGATCTGGGCTGCAAAAATCTCCCCAGGCTCTTAAAATAGCTTGAATCTGGCCCCTTGGGTGAGGCTAAGGATGGGAATGAGAGCAGGAGATCATGATGAATCAAACTGTTCCCTTAACCTCTCAGATACAAGGAAACCACACCACTAATGTTTAACTGTTCTGACACTGTGCCTTTGTGTTTTCAAGGTAGTGGGTTGCACAAGTAGGGGGTTGATGTCACAGGTACATTTGGTTTAATGCACAGCCTTTCACTGGAGATTCTAGAATTGTACCAGGGTACTTCTGCAAGCAAAGCACGTGCTCGACACTTGCCCCTGCCCTCCCTGAGCACACCTCCCTTGTCAATCCACAGATGTGCTAGATTAAATGCCATGAGCCCAAATTAATGCTATGCTTCATATTTTATTTATATTTTTATGTAAACATCATTTGCTTGGTAGGCACAATATAACAAAAGCTCTAAAGCAACAGAGAACAATTAAAACAAACATTTCAGTTTACTTAGTTCAGGATGATGATAAAGAGAGGCTGTCATAGTTCCATAATCCAAATTGGGAACTCATTTCCTTTTACTTGATGAAAGCAACCAGTTAATTAGAGATAAAACTTGAAAGTAGATTAGTAACAAGAGGTTGGAGTTCAAAGGGTGATTCTGATCTCTGTTTGTTCCCCAGTAATAATACTGATTAGACAAAATTCCTTCTTTACAGAGTGTCTCCTACTATCTCAGAGACAGGACTCTACCAAATCCAGTCACATTGCAGAACTGCAAGCATAAATGTCTCCCCCTCCCCTCCAGATTTTCCCTGCACATAGAAAGCAAGACTTGATAATGACAGAATTTGAGACTCGATTTGCCTCTGCTTTCCACTTACAGGGGTATTTCTTCACCTATATGGGGCATTCTAACCTGCAGCAGCTCCAATGTATTCTGATGTGGACAGTATCTCTTTCAAAATTCAAGTGATGATAAATGTTAGGTTCAACATTGAGGTAATTGGATGGCCTCCTGGATCTACTCAAACAAAACAGCACCTGAACTGAGTTTGTTTTTCACTAATCTTGATTGTTACATAGCATCATTTTCACAAGAGTCAGGCTGCAATTTTAGGGAATTGCTATGTTTGCAGATGGGGAGGAGGATGTAAGCCAAGAGTTTACAGGGAGCTTCCAATGATTTGCACTCTTTCGCCTAACTCCAGGAGAAAATCCAGGCTCCAGTGAACCTGAGGCACATAAGACTGAATTCAGTGGATCACAGGCATGGATCAATCTGTGTGAAGGTTGGGCTGTTTTGATTCCACTTGATATTAAAGCCTCTCTCTAGGTCATAAAAGTATAAATGTTGCAGAATGTACCCAAAGACAGTTGTGTTCCTGAAGTGATTTCCACAACTGGAATTCTAAGTAAACAAATGACCCACAAATGCACACCATTTGTTCCAAAGTGGCAATACTAAGTGTGAGATCAATTTGTTTGAATTATCAAAGGTTCACAACCCAAAGGCTGCAGATGACTGTGAGAGGAGTGGCCCATTTGATAACACCAAAGCTGAAGAGGAGCAAATGCAGCATAGTTGATACAAACCTTGGCCTTCAAAAGCAAAAGTAGGCCCTTGGGAATAAGCTGAATCATGAAAGTTCTAATATTATCAGGGCATCTCTAAAACTGTAATGGTATGTGAGAAAGACCTTGAGAAATGCAGTGAAGAGATGCTGCCTAGGGAAGAGTCAGATAAGATAGGGCATAGCCCACAGCTGCATAATGGATGGAACAGGACGCTCAGAAGGGACCCTCCCTAGTTTCTCAGGCTGTAAAGGAGACAGGGAGATTTGTACTTTCAGACATGCAAGATTCTATTAATGTAGCCTTACAGTAAAGTAGAATTAGCTCACTGGGTCATGTTTCCTGTTTGGTCTACCTGGGAAGGCTGACAAAAACAGAGAGTGTGGGGACTCAGTACTAATCTAATGCCAGTTAAACTTCTGGCTTCCTTTCTCTTAAATTACACTCAACCTCATCTACATTTTTGCTGATGGGAATACTCAACATGAAAATCAAGTCAAATAATACATTTTGCACTGCTTGCTATAGGTTTCTGCTTTGGGTTGGCTACCTTCTGGATATATTTGCCATCATCGAGGATCTGCGCAGTGTAAATAGAAGTGCAAATCTGCACAAAGGAAAGTAGGAATGTATTTTCCTTTCTGCAATGCAAGACTGATGGACAATGGACTAAAAGGTAGGCTTGAGGGATTATTTAATGTTATAGACTAGTGAGGATTAATGCATCCAGGAGGATACACATCTGCAGAGATTTTGGGATTTAAGCATGGATTTCTACCACATGCACAATCCAGAAAACACTGTAACATTCTCCCCCTCCCCCAAAACTCTTTCATCTGAAAGTTAGTCTATTTAGCAATAGAGATGAATCTCTTCCATCAAAGCAATCCCTGCAGCTTTGCCTGTTTCTAAAAGTTTCATTTCAAAAACAAGTGTAATTGCAATTGTGTCAGAAGATGGCGCTTTAAGGCACCCATCTGTGCCCCTGATTAAGTGAGGAGCCTGTTATAAATTCTTGGATCTCTCTGGTCCTCTGCTTTATTTGCTTGTTCATGTGCTCTCTCTGAATGAGCAAGCACTACCCACCATGAGAAGGAATTGCAATTTCTAATTGCCTTCCCCTGGGCAGCTCTGGATTGGGCTAAAAACAAGAGGACAAACACGTGGACAGCAGCAATGATGGGAAAAGGTAGGTCCGTGAAGGGAAGGTTTACTGAAGTCATCTTTGCTGTCCAAAGTCTAGAATAGGGACTAAAGTGGAAGCTTACTGTGATGGCCAGTCTTCTTAGAAGGAGGCAACTTTTGATAGTGGTACATGTTGGTCTACGACCAAAATAAAGTTTGATCTGATTGATTTGATAGTGGTAAGCTTGCAATGGCTTCTGCTGATCAAAAAACATCTAAAATTATGGTATCCTTTTGGCACTTGTTTGACACGGTCCCTCTCTTCCATCTCTCTATTTTTTGCTTTTTCTTTCTTCTTGGAAAGATGACATTCTGCAGAGCTACACTGATTTCCTTCAAAAAGGGTCTTAGTCACAAGAGTGGAATTGTACATGAATGTGCAATGGCTGCAATTTAAATGGCTTTCAAAAACTGTGTTAAGACCAATCCATGGAAGAAAATGGCTATTAATCATCATGGCTACAGCTATAGATATCTGGTTAGTAGGAGAAGGCTGATACTGGTAGAATTAGGATGCAGCAGGAATATTATTTTACTGATGGATGTAAAGTCTGTTGGCAGGGCAGTGGATTACTATGAGAAGGCTCTTATAAAGAGTTGTGTGGCTATAAGAAAGCTGCCAGTGAAATCCCAAATTCAGATAGCAGGGCCTGAATCAAAGCTGTTCATTTTTACTACTGTGCAAATATTCAATCTGAAGATTATATCCGAAGGTGATTCGATCAAATACTGAAAGCAAACTGACTTTTTAAAATAGATTGGACAGATGTTTAAATCTTCTTGGATGCTTTTGAATTGATCTGGATGTTTTTGTGCACATTACAAAAAAATTGAATCCATTTGCCAGTTGGATCCGAACATCAGAATTGACTCACATCAGTTTTCTGAGTCAATGCATGTCATCAAATCTGATCAATTTTCAAAATCAAATCGATAATTCGAATGGATTTGTTTCCCGGTCTATCTCTGGGTCAAGTCTCAAACCTGCTGCAATCCCAAACTAGTGTTGATATTCTCCTACCGCTTTCCCACTTGGGGAAAAGAACACAACTGAAGATTTGAGAGGAGGAAAAAAGTAACAATGCAGGAGGGAGCAAGGGAGATCCCCCCCCCACTTTTTTAACCAATGGCTATAAAATTCCTTTTGAGTTTGTTTGGACTGCAAACCACAGTCTAATATGGCAGTTTTATTGTACACCAGCACTGGGATGAAGCATTTGGATTTAGCATTAAGAGACTAATATTTCCTTAAATGTGTTGAGTAGAGACAGTTACTCTTGAGCTATCTTTAAATATCATTAAGAGTGTGTTTTTGCTTAACAATGCTCAAAAAAGATGGTAAACGAACTTTTAGGATATGAGGGTATAAAGTCCTTCCAAAGGATATTCATTGTAAGATAATATAATTTAGACAAACCAGCTATAAACATTTGTGGGCAATATTTTCAGTGAATCCATTTTTTAATTAATTAGTGGAGTTTGAGCACTACTATTCCCATAACAACTATTATACACTAACAGTTACACAAATCAGTGTGTCTTAGCATCTCTTGAGGACTTTTTTATGTGTACCAAACAATATTGTACAAATGAGGTATTTTCTTGAGAAATGAGAAGGAGTTGCTTGTTTACAAAGATGGTGTGATCTTTAAAGAACAGGAAACATTGGTAATTACCTCCCATGGTGGCCTTAGTTTGTGATTCAAAAGAGAAATTTTCATTCTTTCCTCCCCATACAGGAGAATATCTATATTTATTACTATGTCATATGCAGTTTTCCAAATATGTACTAGGAACAGGGCTTTGCGGGCACATGGAGTTGTCGGTATTGGGCTTGTTCACACCATTGCCTGGTTAATGGTTATAATTTTGTCATGAAGGAGAAAGTTGGCCTGTGTGATGCTTTAAGGCTTTGTATTAGTTTATCAACAGAGAGGGTCTGTTTGTACAAACTTTCCCACTTATTTTAAAACGTAAATACAAAGCTTGCTTGTGGGTTAGGTGGAACAGTTTGAACATTTCACAGGGGCACAGCAAGAGGAAAGTAAGTGTGATCCAAGAGATAGCAAGCATTAAATATTTTTCCTATTTTCTTGACCCCAAATACATTTGTAATAGCTTGATTTCCGTTCATCCACATTCTCCCATATTACCAAGCCACTGATTTTAATTTAAAATTACCTAAATAAAGTTGGTAATAGGTGAGGGGGTTGCTCTGGGCTGCAAGTTGCACACTCATGCTTTTAGAAGGAAAAATGCTGATAGGAATCGAGGCTACGCATGTCTGCAACTACTGTATATATGCAACTACCCTGTCCACAGAACCTCATCTCCCCCCCTCCAAAACCAACCCCTCTCAACCATGTCAAAGTGGCTTGAAAATTTGCTTCTGAAACCAACATGGGAAGAAGTTTGTGTCTCCTATCAGTGTAGATGATAATAAGGCTTTTGATAGGTATTCAACAAGACTCTTACAGGCAAACTGGGGACCACAGGATGGAATGTCATAATACTGGGAAAGTCAGAATGGCACTTCAGTTCAAAACATCAATGACCAACACCTTATAGCTCAGCTGACTGCAGACAAAAGGAAAAACAAAACAGCACACACTGTACTAGAGCATTTGTTCACTGGTGCACAAAATGGGTTTCCCCAGTTGTCTTTCCTTCTTCTGCTTTATCAATTCTTCCAGCTCTCATTCCCACCTTTTTCAGCTACTGTTGGATGAATGGTATACACTCTTTGTTCTCATTATCCCCCTCATGGTCTTCTTCCTCTTCGGCAGCCTCGCTGGTCTCTGTGCTGTCGTTGGCCATCTGGGGTTGAAACAGAGCCAAGAGGATGCATGTCAGTCAGTTAACTCCTCTTCGCAAAGCAATCAGCACAATGGAGAAGATCCAAGGGCAGAGAGATCAACATACCAAAACTTTGTCAAGGATTGCAAGGACAATATGAAAGGGAAGAGGGAGTGCCATAACTTTGGGGTGACTTTTTAGATCATCACCATAATCTCTTACACACACATACATGCCCAACCATTCCAGGATTGCCATACATTGTGCCAGTTTCAAGTTGCACTGAGGGAGGGGAGAAGCTATGGATTTAAGCAGTGGTTTGCAAAGCAGGGCCCACAGCTTGGAAGATCTCCAAACGCAATAGCATGTAAACCCATTTTAAAAGAATCAGAAAAGTTCCTGATCTGTCTTCTCCTTCCCTTTCAGAGAGAGAGAGATGGGGGGTTGGGGAGGGGGCTGGG